ACTCTGTATCAAAAAAAAAAAAAAAAAAACAACACACACACAAACAAAAAACCACTAAGAGATCTAATCAATTCTCAAAGGGAGTATGAATTTCCTGAAAATGCAACTAAAAATAGTTATTAACTACATTCCTCCTTCGAAACAGAATTGTGACTATATCCTTTTTTGCATGCTGACAGTTGTCCTGCCTACGAATATGAAGGAAATAAATAGTAGTTAAAAAAAATCTGTTTCTTGCTATGCGTTGTCATCAATGTGTGAAATTATGTAGATGGCAAAAACTTTCCTGATAAACTGGCTTTACTATTAATAACATACAAGCTTTTCTTAAACTCCAGGTTTTTCTAGCACTTTTTGCTAAGCAAATGCGTTTTCACCCTATAAATCACTGAGGGACTGACTTACAGTTGAAAACTATAGAAAATACAGAAAGGCTTCCTCTAGTCTGATCCACAACTCTTCTTAATGTTATTGCATGAGAATTTTTAATGCAGGACAGTAAGAAAAGCACCCCCGGCAGTGCTTCAGAAGACCTGAGTCCTGGCTCTGGCTCTACCACGAAATTACTGTGTGATTTTGGATGAGTCACTTAGCCTCTCTGGACTTAAATATTACCACTTTGAAAGAAAGGGAGGGAGAGAAGATCAGCCAGATGATCCGAGGTCATTTTCTGCCTTAATACTCTATGACAAGTATCTGTGATAGTAGTAATTTCTACATTTACACTTAGGGCGTATTTAAATACAGTCTTTTCTTTCTCTATATTTTGGGGAAAAGGGGGTCAAATATGCTGCTGGTCTCCTTTTCCCTTTGACATGAAATGCAGTCTTTTGAACCTTTGGAGGGACCCAGTAAAACTGAATTTAGATGGGATGTCCCTAATGTATCTGATCCTGCATTTTCAGAATCCATTGAATGTGCAGCAGAAGGCAGACTTGCAGAGGCACTGATTGGTTCTGGAGGTGTCACACTACGTTGGCTTTGTAGTTTGGTTTCTGCTGCTTTCCCATAGAATTCCTGAATCCCAGCTGTAGGCCCAAAGGTGAGGGACCAAGGCTTGTCTTAATTAACTAGGTTACAGTTTGTCTTCAGTCAGGAAGTTGTGGGTTGAATAATCGTAAACTCAATAGATGAAATCTTAATTCCTAGAACTTGTAAATGTTACTTTACTTGGGAGAAGAGCCTCTGCAGATGTGCTTAAGTCAAGGGTCAAATGAGATGGGGAGATTATCATGGATACCTGAATGGGTCCTAAATGCAATCATGAGTGACCTCATAAATTACGGGCAGGGTGAGATCTGATGCTGACACATGGTGGAGAAGATGTGAAAATGGTGGAGACTGGAATGATGTGGCCACAAGCCCCAGGTTTGCTGGGCAACCACTAAGAGCCAGAAGTGGCAAGGAAAAATTTGCCCTTCAAGCAACCAGAAGGAGACAGTCCTACTGGATTACAGCCATCTGGCCTCCAGAACTGGGGTAGAATACACGTCTGCTGTTTTAAGCCACTAAGTTGGTGGTAATTTGTTAACAGCAGCCACAGGAAACAAATACACAGGGGACAGTAGGTGAGTGTCCAGACCTGCAGGGGCCCATATCACCACTCAGATGTGACCCCGGAACACAGAAAGAGGGGCATCCTTCCATTCTGGCTGTGCAGTTCTTTCCCCCAACTCTTCACCAGACGCCCACATCTCCATCTTGCAGCGTTCTCTCCGTTCAACTATTTCTTAAGAAGTTGTTGTGCACCAAACACTGTGCTAAGCATGGAGGAGCCGCTGATAAAAGAATCCTTGGGAACTGAAAATAGAGTGTTTTCGGTTGAGATCAGCTTGCACTAGAAACTGGGTTTCGGGAGTATTCCACCTTAGTCCCTCAAGCCTTGCTTAACTGGGCTGTGGAGGGGAAGGTGGCTTCCCCCACTCCTGCCTACACTGATGAGGCAGGCCTCATAGTTCCCACCATCATGACACAGACTAGCAATACCTGAGGGCCCTGAGTTCTCCATTAGCTCACCATTGATCTTTTCTTATCACATAAAAAACTCTCAGAAAAGCTGGGTTTTCCCCAAACTGCGTCAAAACATGAATGATGGTGAGGGGGATTACCAAGGTATAAATTCAGGTACCAGTAGATATTTCCTTTTTTTTTTTTTTAGAAACAGGTCAGTGGTGCGATCATAGCTCACTTCAAACTGCTGGACTCAAGTGATTCTCCCACTTCAGCATCCCAAGTAGCTGGGACTACAAGGGCATGCCACCAAGCGTGGCTAATTTTCTGAAGAAATTTTGTAGGGATGATGTATTAGCCATCTTCACACTACTGTAAGGAAAGACTGAGATTGGATAATTTATAAAGGAAAGAGGTTCACTTGACCCATAGTTCTGCAATGCTGGGGAGGCCTCAATAAACTTGCAATCATGGCAGAAGACAAAAGGGAAGCAGGCACCTTCTTCACAGGTCGGCAGGATGGACTGAGTGCAGACAGGGAAATGCCAGATGTTTATAGAACCATCAGATCAGATCTCGTGAGACTCACACACTATCACGAGAACAGCATGGGAGAAACCCCCCCCCCCCCCGTGATCCAATACCTGCACCTGGTCCTGCCCTTGACACATGGGGATTATCAGGATTATAATTCAAGATGAGATTTGGGTGGGGACACAGAGCCAAACCGTATCAGATGGGGTCTTGCTATGTTGACCAGTCTGGTCTTGAACTCCTAGGCTCAAGTAATCCTCCCAGCCTCAGCCCGTAAAGTGCTGGAATTACAGATGTGAGCCACTGTTCCAGGCCTCCAGCAGATATTTCTACAGCATTCCTCCAGGAATGAGTGGAGGAGACTCTGGAACTTCTGTGGTCTGGAACTTCCAACTGGGACTCATTTTCAGTCTCCTGGGACAGGGGAAACTGACTTAAAGCGATTTTCTTTCTTTCTTTTTTTTTTTTTTCAAGACGGAGTTTCGCTTTTGTTACCCAGGCTGGAGTGCAATGGCGTGATCTCAGCTCACTGCAACCTCTGCCTCCTGGGTTCAGGCAATTCTCCAGCCTCAGCCTCCAGAGTAGCTGGGATTACAGGCACGCACCACCATGCCCAGCTAATTTTTTGTATTTTTAGTAGAGACGGGGTTTCACCATGTTGACCAGGATGGTCTCGATCTCTTGACCTCGTGATCCACCCGCCTTGGCCTCCCAAAGTGCTGGGATTACAGGCGTGAGCCACCTTAAAGTGATTTTCAAAGGGCGTTCCTGTTGAAAGAGCTAATCTCTGGATCTTAACGTCCATTTTTGACCCAATACATACTGTGACCCAAAGCCCCTGACACTTGCCAATTTTAAAATGATGAAATTAAGAGTCTGGGCATTGTGATCTCTTGGATGGGACTTGAAGTCTAGCTTTCAGCTTACTAGTTGGGTGACTACGGGCAAGTCACCTAATTTCTCTGAGCTTCAAAGGTCAAACTTCTCTGAGGTCAAAATGTGTGATACTCTGAACCTATCACAGTGGACAAGGAGATGAAAAGTTCTCATTGATCAGACTTGAGTCAGGGGTCTCCCTTTTGATGGCGTGTGTTGCAGTGTGATTGGCAGCATGACCATTAACACATAGAATGGAGGTGGCATGAATGCTCCCTCATCTCAATATTCATTTAAAGAAAACATGTTCAACAGTCATTACATTATAATTCTTGTTGCCATAGGATAAAAAGAGGGAAATTTTAATAATGAGTATGATATTTTCAATGAACAATTTGTGAATAATGGCATCACTCTAATAGAAACTATTACTGCTACCATTATAATCTGAATATAAAAACACACATACAACATACACACACATTTGTGTATGCTGCATATCATGGAGGAAAGCCAGTCCTGGTATAAATTATACAACTTAAAAATAATAATGGAATTATAATTTCATTTTAATATTATTTTCAATTAAAATATTTAATGGACTATCTTTTAGAGGTTTTAAGTTATACAACTTAAAAATAATAATGGAATTATAATTTCATTTTAATATTATTTTCAATTAAAATATTTAATGGACTATCTTTTAGAGGTTTTAAGTTTACAGAAAATCTAGGTAGATGACCAGGCACGGTGGCTCACACCTGTAATCCCAGCACTTTGGGAGGCTGAGGCGGGTGGATCACCTGAAGTCAGGAGTTTGAGACCACGCTGGCCAACATAGAGAAAACCCCATCTCTACTAAAAACACAACAAAATTAGCCTGGCGTGGTGGCAGGCGCCTGTTATCCCAGCTATTTGGGAGGCTGAGGCAGAAAAATTGCTTGAACCCGGAAGGCAGAGTTTGCAGTGAGCTGAAATTGTGCCACTGCACTTTACCTGGGCAACAGAGTGAGACTCTGTCACAAAAACAAAAACAAACAAACAAAAAATCTAAGTAGCCAACATGGGAAATTCCCATTAACCCCTGTATTAGTCTACTAGGACTTCCATGACAAAATCCTATAGGCTAGGCAGCTTAAACAACAGAAATGTGCTTTCTCACAGTTCTGAAGGCCAGAAGACCAAGGTGCCCACATGTTTGGTTCCTAATGATGCCTGTTTACCTGACTTGCAGACTGCCACCTTCTCCCTGTATCCTCACATGGCCATTCCTCTGTGCACTGGGAGGCAAGAGGAAGTGCACGGAAGAATCCCCTCCCAAAGTGCTGGGATTACAGGTGTGAGCCACCATGCCTGGCCATCTACCAAGATTTTCTGTAAACTTAAAACCTCTAAAAGAGAGTCCATTAAAAATTTTAATTGAAAATAATATTAAAATGAAATTATAATTCCATTATTATTTTTAAGCAAGCTCTGGTGTGTAGTCCTCTACCTAGAAGACCCCAGTCCTATTGGATTAGGGCCTCTCTGTTTTTGTTTTTGTTTTGTTTTGAGATGGAGTTTCGCTCTTGTTACCCAAGCTGGAGTGCAATGACGCAGTCTCAGCTCACTGTAACCTCCGCCTCCTGGGTTCAGGCAATTCTCCTGCCTCAGCCTCCTGAGTAGCTGAGGGCCTCTCTTTTAACCTTCATGAGGGCGGAGTCCTACAGAGAGACTAACTTCTCTGCTCTGTCACTTCCAGAGAAGCTGCCATTCATTGAGCTGCACTCACACATGCGGGTACAGACTGTGAAAAAGGAATTGGCAACACTGAAACCTCTAGAATAAAGGCTGTCACTAAGGTATGTGCTATACGCATCCTTGGGGAAGAAGGGCATGAGTAGGCAGGGGCATTTTTATTTCTTTAGGGGATAGGGAAAGGGAATTCAGAGGTCTAGCACAAGAGGTAAAAAAAATCTCTTTATCTTTGCATTTGCACACAAAAAACCCCTGTTTGCTTGCTTGTGCTTTCAAATTATAGAAAGGTAGCAGAGTGGATTGGGATGTCTGAATGTAAAGGAAACAAACGCCTTGGGAAAATATGCCTGGATTGAAATTGCATTAAATGTATATATCAATTTGAGAGGAATTTTCAAGTTGTATCATTTTTATGTAACTGAATTGCATTGTTATTAGGTTTATTCCTAGTAATGCTAGTAATGTTCATTGCTAGGATAGCCGTTGTAATTTTTTTCTGGTACTTAGGAAAGCAATTAAAAGAATAAACAGGAATATTTTGCAGATATATCTCTAAAACAATAACCAAAATATAAAAGGAGAAACAACATTATATCATTTATGTAAGTTAAAAGTAAACACACAAAAATACATATTGTTCATGGATATATATATATGTAAGATGTAAAAGTACGGGGGGAAATTGTTTGGAATGATACATACGAAATTGGTTTCAGTGGCTGTTTCTGGGTATGGGGATAAGTTGTGTAGTTAAAGGGAACATTAGCTTAACCTCTATTGCATTAGAAAGAAAAAAAGAGGGGTGGAAGAAAGGAAGAGAGGGAAGAAGAAAAAAAAGGGAAGAAGTGAAAAAAAAGACCGAAAGCACTGTGACAGTGTTGGCAGCTGCTAATTCTAGGTGATGGAACTGCAGGCATTTACATTTCCTTTGTAAGTTTTGGCTTCTCTCGTCTCAGCTAACTCTCCTGTACTAACTTGGGTTTACACAACAAAATACAATAGAAACAACAGAAAATGTTGTTTAACATACTTCTGAAGGCTGGAAGTCCCCAGACCAAGATGCCAACGCGGTTGGTTTCTGGTGAGGCTTCTCTACCTGGCTTGCTGATTTCAGCCTTCTTACTGTGTCCTCACATGGTCTTTTTTCTGTGCACAAGGAGAGAGAAGTTTCTTGTGTCTCTTTCTCTTCTACTAAGGACACTAGTTCTGACAGATTAGAGCCCTGCCTTTTTTGTTTTTGTTTCTGTTTTCTTTTTTTTGAGCAGAGTCTCACTCTGTCACCCAGGATGGAGTACAGTGGCATGATCTCGGCTCGCTGCAACCTCTGCTTCCTGGGTTCAAGCAGTTCTCATTGCTTGAGGCCTCAGCCTCCCATGGTAGCTGGGATTACGGGTGTGTGCTACCATGTCTGGCTAATTTTTGTAATTTTAGTAGAGACAGGGTTTTGTCATGTTGGCCAAGCTTGTCTCAAACTCCTGGCCTCAGCCTCCCAAAGTGCTGGGATTATAGGCACAAGTCACTGCAACATCAAGTGCGCTGCCTTTTTAACTTTATTTACCTTTTTTTTAAGACAGAGTCTCAGTCTGTCAGCCAGGCTGGAGTGCAGTGGTGTGATCTCGGCTCACCCCAACCTCCGCCTCTTGGGTTCAAGCAATTCTCCTGTCTCAGTCTCCTGAGTAGCTGGGATTACAGGCACCTGCCACCACGTCTGGCTAATTTTTATTATTTATTTATTTACTTTTAGACAGAGTTTCGCTCTTGTTGCCCAGGTTGGAATGCAATGGCGCAACCTTGGCTCACTGCAACCTCTGCCTCCCATGTTCAAGTGATTCTCCTGCCTCAGCCTCCCAAGTATCTGGGATTACAGGCACCCACCACCATGCCCAGCTAATTTTTTTTTTGTTTTGTATTTTTAATAGAGAAGGGGTTTCACCATGTTGGTCGGGCTGGTCTCAAACTCCTGACCTCAGGTGATCCATCCACCTCAGCTTCCCAAAGTGCTGAGATTATAGGCATCAGCCACCATGCCCAGCCTATCATGTAAACTTAATACGTCTTTAAAAGCCCTATCTCCAAATAGTCACACTCACGCTGGGGGTTCAGCACTTGTGAATGTGTGAATTTGGGGAGAACACAATTCAGTTCATAACATCCCCCTAATTTTTTAAAAACAAAAATGTTTTTAAGGAGTGAACGTCTTTTATGTTTCTCTGTGACCAGGTCCCGCTGACTAGATGGATTATACACTTGACCCCAGTGTGACAATGACCGACTACTACTACCCTGATAGCTTCTCAAGCCCCTGTGATGGGGAACCTATCCAGCGAAATGGCAAGTTGCTCCTTGCTGCCTTTTATTGCCTCCTGTTTATATTCAGTCTTCTGGGAAACAGCCTGGTTATCCTGGTCCTCGTGGTGTACAAGAAGCTGAGGAGCATCACAGACATATACCTCTTAAACCTGGCCCTGTCTGACCTGCTTTTTGTCTTCTCCTTCCCCTTTCAGACCTATTATCAGCTGGGTGAGTGGGTGTTTGGGACTGTAATGTGCAAGGTGGTGTCTGGCTTTTATTACATTGGCTTCTTCAGCAACATGTTTTTCACCACCCTCATGAGTGTGGACAGGTACCTGGCCATTGTCCGTGCCGTGTATGCCATAAAAGTGAGGACGATCAGGATGGGCACAGTCCTGAGCCTGGTAGTATGGCTAACCTCTATTATGGCTACCATCCCACTGCTAGTGTTTTACCAAGTGGCCTCTGAAGATGGTGTTCTACAGTGCGATTCATCTTACAATCAACAGACTCTGAAGTGGAAGATCTTCACCAACTTTGAAATGAACATCTTAGGCTTGTTGATCCCCTTCACCGTCTTTACATTCTGCTACATTAAAATTCTGCACCAGCTGAAGAGGTGTCAAAACCACAACAAGACCAAAGCCACCAGGCTGGTGCTCATTGTGGTCATTGCATCTTTACTTTTCTGGGTCCCATTCAACATGGTTCTTTTCCTGGCTTCCCTGCACAGCATGCGCCTCTTGGGTGGATGTGTCATGAGCCAGCAGCTGATTTATGCCACCCATGTCACAGAAATCATTTCCTTTACTCACTGCTGCGTGAACCCTGTTATCTATGCTTTCATGGGAGAGAAGTTCAAGAAACACCTCGCAGAAATATTTCAGAAAAGCTGCAGCCATATCTTCCTCTACCTAGGAAGACAGACACCCAGGGAGAGCTGTGAAAGGTTGTCATCCTGCCAGCAGCATTCCTCCTATTCCTCCAGCATAGACTACATTTTGTGAGGATCAGTGAAGACTAAATATAAAACCTTTTTCTTGAATGGCATGCTAGTAGCAGTGAGCAGAGGTGTGGGTGTGAAAGGTTTCCGAAGAAAAGTGCAGCATCAAGGATGCCATATATGTTGTTGCCAACACTTGGAACACAACGACTAAAGACACAGTTGTGCATGCCCGGCACAACCTCGAGCCTGTGATTGTGTTTATTGATGATGCTGAACAAGTGATAACTTTGCTTTTTTTTTTGAGACGGAGTTTCACTCTTGTTACCCAGGCTGGAGTGCAATGGCGCAATCTCGGCTCACCGCAACCTCCGCCTCCTGGGTTCAGGCAATTCTCCTGCCTCAGCCTCCTGAGTAGCTGGGATTACAGGCACGCGCCACCATGCCCAGCTAATTTTTCTATTTTTAGTAGAGACGGGGTTTCACTATGCTGACCAGGATGGTCTCGATCTCTTGACCTTGTGATCCACCCGCTTCGACCTCTCAAAGTGCTGGGATTACAGGCGTGAGCCACCGCGCCCGGCAACTTTGAAGGATTCTGTACGCCAAACAAAAAAAAAAGTCTGACCCCCTTACATAAGCAAAAACATACCCTCAGAGCCTGTCAGTAGGCTGGAAGAAGAGGATACTGAAGCTTTTGACATCAATGCTGAAGCTCCAGTTGTTCATGCAGTGACTGATGGTGAGAAAGCTGAAGTGGTTCTGAATCGAGGTGACTGGGATTACAGTGACAACGGAGATGCTGCTGTTAACTGCAGAAAGAGTGCCTGTAGATGACATGGCGAAATATGCGACGGGCTCACGGAGGGCTAGAGCAGCATGCATTCATAACAGGACGAGAAGCGATGTTGGCTTACAAAACCAGAGGGAGACTTCTAGACGAAAACCACCGTTGACGGGCAGATGCCTCTGGTGGAGACATTGAAAAGCCATCCAGCAGAATGCCTCATCCTCCCTGGAGGACCCGCTTTCTGATCCCTCAGCTGTGTCTGGTGTTTCTTCTCATGTAAGAAAATAAAAATAAAAATAAAAATATTGGTATGTAACTACAGAAAAAAATTAAAACTATAGATTGGACAGTAACCTTTCAATCAAAACTCAGTATCGTAAGTAGAGACTGAAAGCTTACTGCTGTTGGTTGAACAGCTGATACAGGTATTCTGCTGCTCCTGCTGATGCTTAGTTCATGACACGTTGTTCTCTCACTATTAATGGTGTGTCATATTTTTTTACTATTAAGTACTTATATGAGAGTAAGTGTAAGAAAATGATTGCTTATCAGTAGTATCAATGATTAACTTAATATCTGAATCCCTTTAATTCAGAACCATTTCAGCTATTTCACCATTAGTCAATGAATGAATAACTGCAGCGTCATTATTTACGTCAAAAACCTCAATATCCACTTCTTTCAGGCTACTGCAGACTCTGTAAGTATATTTTTTGCATATGTAAGGAGGTCAGGGATTTTTCTTTTTTTTTTGGCTTGGCATACAGAATTCTTCAAATTTGTTCAACATCGTCCATAGACACAACCACAGGGCAGAGGTTGTGCCAGGCATGCACAACTACCTCTCTAGTCATTGTGTTCCGAGTGTTGGCAACTACATATATGGCATACTTCAGATGAGGTCAGAGTCAGGAAAGATGATGGTGCAAACAGTCACAAATATTCTACATGGGTGGCTGAGGCAGTGACACCTTTGCTTTCTGATGATTCAACATATACAGACTTTGTTGCATGCACAAATTTATTTAAAGCTTTGGCTGGACACAGTGGATCACCCCTATAATCCCAGCACTTTGGGAGGCTGAGGCGGGCAGATCACTTGAGGTCAGGAGTTTGAGACCAACCTCACCAATATGGTGAAACCTCCTCTCTACTCAAAATACAAAAATTAGCCTTTCTGCCCATGGACGCTGCCAAAAAAGTATTGTTAAAGTCTCTCTTCTCCCTGCCATCATGTCTAAGTCAGAGTCTCCTAAAGAGCCTGAACAGCTGAGGAAGCTCTTCATTGGAGGGTTGAACTTTGAAACAACCCATGAGAGCCTGGGGAGCCATTTTGAGCAATGGGGAACGCTCAGGGACTGTGTGGTAATGAGAGAGCCAAACACCAAGCGCTCCAGGGGCTTTGGGTTCATCACATATGCCACTGTGGAGGAGGTGGATGCAGCCACGAATGCAAGGCCACACAAGGTGGATGCAAGAGTTGTGGAAACAAAAGAGCTGTCTCAAGAGAAGATTCTTGAAGACCAGGTGTGAAAAAGATATTTGTTGGTGGCATTAAAGAAGACATGAAGAACATCACCTAAGAGATTATTCTGAACAGTATGGAAAAATGGAAGTGACTGAAATCATGACTGAGAGAGGCAGTGGCAAGAAAAGGGGCTTTGCCTTAGTAACCTTTGACAACCATGACTCTGTGGATAAGAGTGTCATTCAGAAATACCACACTGTGAATGGCCACAACTGTGAAGTTAGGAAAGCCCTGTCAAAGCAAGAGATGGACGGTGCTTCATCCAGACAACGAGGTCCAAGCGGTTCTGGAAACTTTGGTGGTGGTCGTGGAGGTGCTTTCGGTGGGAATGACAACTTTGGTTGTGGAGGAACCTTAAGTGGTTGTGGTGGCTTTGGTGGCAGCCGTGGTGGTGGTGGATATGGTGGCAGTGGGGATGGCTATAATGGATTTGGTAATGATGGAAGAAATTTTGGAGGTGGTGGAAGCTACAGTTATAACAATCAGTCTTCAAATTTTGGACCATGCAGGGAGGAAACGTTGGAGGCAGAAGCTCTGGCCCCTATGGTGGTGGCGGCCAATACTTTGCCAAACCACGAAACCAAGGTGGCTGTGGCGGTTCCAATAGCAGCAGTAGCTATGGCAGTGGCAGAAGATTTCAATTAGGAAACAAGGCTTAGCAGGAGAGGAGAGCCAGAGAAGTGACAGGGAAGCTACAGGTTACAACAGATTTGTGAACTCAGCCAAGCACAGTGGTGGCAGGGCCTAGCTGCTTCAAAGAAGACATGATTTAGACAAACACTTATGGGCAAAAAACTCGAGGACTGTATTTGTGACTAATTGTATAACAGGTTGTTTTAATTTCTGTCCTGTGGAAAGTGTAAAGCATTCCAACAAATGGTTTTAATGTAGTTTTTTTTTTTTTTTGCACCCATGCTGTTGATTGCTAAATGTAATAGACTGATAGTGATACTTAATAAATGTCTTTTTTTTAATGAGCTGTGTAAAGTTAGTCTACTCTGAAGTCATCTTGGTCAATTTCCTCAACAGTGTGAAGTTAGCATTTCTTCAGGGTAATGCCAGGTTCTATTTGGAATTTATATACAACCTGCTTGGGTGAAGAAGCCACTGTCTTTAGAAACCTTGGTGTCATTGAACTAACTGATAGTTACTGTTGTGACCTGAAGTTCACCATTAAAAGGGATTACCCAAGCAAAATCAAGGGATTACTGGTTATAAAAATGCAATCCTGTACAATGTATCTAAATTGAATAATGGTACCAGATAAAATTATAGATGGGAATGAAGCTTGTGTATCATCCATTATCATGTGTAATCAATAAACGATTTAATTCTCTTGAAAAAATACAAATACAAATACAAAAATTAGCCAGGTGTGGTGGCTTGTGCCTGCAGTCCCAGCTACTTGGGAGGCTGAGGCAGGAGAGTCACCTGAACCCAGGAGGCAGAGTTTGCAGTAAGCAGAGATAATGCCCCTGTTCTCCAGCCTGGGCAACAGAAAGATACTCTGTCTCAAAAAATAAATAAATAAAATAAAATTTATAAAACTACTGTGATTGTTAACACTGTCAACTGGATTGGATTGAAGGCTCAAACTATTGATCCTGGGTGTGTCTGTGAGGGTGTTGTAAAGGAGATTAACATTTGAGTCAGTGGGCTGGGAAAGGCAGACCCACCCTTAACCTGGGTGGGACCATCTAACAAGCACAGCCAGAATAAAAGACAGGTAGAAGAAAGTGAAAAGAGAGACTGGCCTAGACTCCCAGCCTACATTTTTCTTCCATGCTAGATGCTTCCTGCCCTTGAATATTAGACTCCACGTTCTTCAGTTTTGGAACTCAGACTGGCCCTCCTTGCTCCTCAGCCTGCAGAAGGCCTATTGCGGGACTTTGTGATTATGTGAGTTAATACTTAATAAATTCCATATATGTGTGTGTGCATATACATATATATATATAGAATACCTATATATATATATTTCATTAGTTCTGTCCCTCTAGAGAACCCTAACTAATACAAATTTTGGTATCAGGAGTGGTTCTAGAGGAACAGAAGATTAAGGATGGAGTTCTTGCATTGGTTTGGGGGTTTCTAGAGTTGATTGCTTAATATGATTAGACCCCAAAAACGCTAAGGACTCTACTTCTATAGTATGGAGAACACTGATAGTCCTTGGTGTGAATTGTTTAAAGACTTATGCAAAAATAAATGCATTTGACACTCCTAATTCATTACTCATAAGAGGCAGGGAGTTTACCGACCCTGTACATAATACCTTTGACCACATGTGGAGAACCAAGGAACATAATGAAGCTGGTTGGTTGCTCCTAAGTTCAGTGAGCAAAGTGATGAGAGAAAATGATGAATTCAGAGATTCTGTCTCCCAGCTTCAGAAGCAGATACTGAGCCTCAAATCTGCTAAGATTGCCCTGAGTGATAGTCTTATCTCCTGCAGAGAAAGTGCTGAAATTGTGGAAAAGCAGACACAAGCTCTTATCGTGTGAGTGGCTGACCTGCAATGACAGGTGCATGCACAGCCTCGCCAGGTGTCTACTGTTAAGGTGAGGGTATTAACTGGAAAAGAGTGGGACCCTGCAATTTAGAATGGGACGCGAGGGAGGACGCCCATGAAGCGGGAGACACTGAGGTCGTAAACTCTGATGAACCTGCTTTGCCAGAAGACACAGCTTCCCCATCCCTAGTAGCAGCAACATCCCTTCCCTGACCCAAGCCGCCATGAGCCTTTCCACCTTTGTCTAAGGAGATAGGCCGTGTGCTGCCTGAGGCAACAGTGATGGCCTCCTTTGAGGCAGTTGCCAGGAAAAATAATGTTGATTCTCCTCAGGAACCACCCCCAACACCCTAGACCTATAACTAGACTGAATTCTTGGCGGGCCCCTAGAGGTGAGGTTGAGAGTGTGACCCATGAGGAGGTGCACCACACTCAAAAAGAACTGCTTGAGTTTTCTAATTTATATAAACAGCAATCTGGAGAACAGGCATGGAAATGGAAATCAAGGGTGTAGAACAATGGTGGAAAGAACATAGAGTTGGGTCAGGCTGACTTGATTGACTTGGGCCAACTAAATAGGGACTCTGAATTTAATGTTGCAGCTCAGGGAGTTAAGAAAGCTTCTAATAGTTTATTTGCTTGGTTAGCTGAGATCTGGATTAAAAGATGGCCCACTGTGAGCAAGTTGGAAATGCCTGATCTCCCTTGGTTTAATGCAGAGAAAGGGATCCAAAGGCTTAGGAAGATTGAGATGGTGGAGTGGGAGAGTCACTTTAGACCTACTCATCCCAGCTGGGAGGGTCCAGGAGTTAATACCCTTAACCAGTGTCTTTTAACCTTGGTATTACCAAATGATGTATGTCAGACTAGCCTTGCTATTGTGGAAAGAGAAAAAGCTAGACAAAAACTTAAAATACATGTGTATCCAATTACTTGAAAGTTAATGGATAATTATAAGATCTTGGAAAAGACATAAATCCAGTATTTGGGTCTGTTTTTCCCCTGAAGATATTGCCAATTTCAGGTAAAGCTTCTGCAAGCCTGAGAATCTCAGTAGCATTTCTGACTGACTCACAGGGGTAGGAGATGAAAGTTAAACCTCAGTACTTTCCAAAAGTGGATGCTGGCAAATCTCTTGTGTCTGAGGTTGGGACCCTTAGAGCTATACCTTAAGATTAGTGTAAATCAGAAATAGGGCAGCATTTGGAGGAACTGGCACCTCACTCCC